GTATACCTGAGTGTTGGCACGTAGCCAGGAGACATGACATTTGGGCAAGATGACCCAGAGTGGGAAGGGGGCCTGGGCCAGGCCAGTATGAAACAAAGCGGCGTGGGGTCGGGGGGGCCTGCCAGCAGCAGAGCGGGCGGGAAGGCTCCCCAATGAACCTGAAAGCAAACAAACTCACTGCCAAGTAGTGCTACTCCTGCTCCAAGGAGGATCACTTATTGCAGTTTGAATTACTAGCTCATTTGTTGTAGTAAAAGACTGTGTGGACGCAAGGCACTGCGAGGGGACCAAACTAAAATTACATCTGTGTGCAAAAAGAGACCTGGGAGTATATTTATATCCCTGCTTTGCTATGGGACTGTTATTCAAAGCACAATATAAATCATTATGTAAAAATCAAAATACCTTTGGTCTCTGCAATGTACCTGACATCAAAGCGCAGGTTCAAGAAGTTAAGCAGAATTGCTAATACTTGATGCTCAAGTAGATCTTCTCTGGTATCTAATTTATACTGCTCTTAACGCATGGGGCATTTGCTTTGGCAAATGAACTTAGAAATGTTTGATGCGTTCCCAGCACACAAACCAAAGTACTGACTCAGTAAATCACTAAAAAAAAAAAAAAAAAATCACTAGTTTGGGGGAACCTTCCCTTCTTCCTCCATTTGCTGCACCTTCACAACTTAAAGAAAAAATTCAGTGGAATAATTTACTTTAAAACCTGGACATTTTTTTCTGCATCATCTGACCAATTTAAAGTAGCTATACAAAACACAAATCTAAAATCCTGTATTGTAGGGTAGGGAGTCTTTAAAATGATACGCAACCTTCGTATATGTGACTGGGGCTTGAGCCTGTCCCCAAGCCATGGACTTCTTGGAATCTGGGGCCTCTCTGGTTTTCTTTCAGGTCTGAAAAACACACAGTGGGGACTCTAGCATATAGGCATAAATCTTGTCAGTTAAATATAGATTAATGAGAATCAGCAGGGAGTAAAAATACTCCACTTTTTATAGTAAATAAAACATGGAAAAAAACTTCAGTTTTATAGCAAAAACTACATCCTGCCATCCCCACCCAGCACTCAGTTCCCTCTTTTTTAGGCATTTGGCTTTCTTTGCAGCTTAGATTTTTTTCCTAGTAAGCAATATTCTTTCCCCATACTTCCCTAAGTACGTATGAACTCGTTTTGCACACCCTCAGTGAAGTCCTACTCACCAGTGAGTTTTACTAACGCCATCCCAACTAACTGTGTTTTGACGTCTCAATTTGTGCTCTTGGTTACAAAAGTCCAGCCTGATTTCTTAATCTTTGCAGAAATGGAAAGATTTTGTAGGATTACAGCAGACGGGGAGACAAAGGAACAGAAAAGGACATAAGGTAATTTTCTAGGTAGTCTAACCAGTCCATGAGTCAAGGTGGCATACGCTTGTAGTAGCTTAACTCCTAACAGTATAAATCTCTTGCGTCCACATGAAGTTGGGATCCTTAATACCCATATCACCTTGAAAACTCTGCTACGGATTTAACAAAAATGCTTTTGGTCACTGAGGCCAAGTTAAAAGACTGTACTCGCAGCCCACCCACCGGGAGACAAAAATGCACCGACTCAAACCTCTGTGCAGGTAATATGTGACTGCAGAGGCTGAGCTGCTTGGAAGATAACCTCAGCTAGGCTAGGAGAAAGGAGAGCGAAGATAATGGAAAAGAAACAGCTATAATAACCACCTGCAAGCACACATGGCCTCTCCTTCAGCACTCATAAAACTTAAAAGGATAAAAGAAAAGGAAATTGCTTTCAAAATAGCAAAGACAATTTTATAAACATTTCTTCTTATGCTTTTATAAGGTGTTGGAGTTGTTGCCCTGTTTCTGGTATTAGGAGTGCTGCATGTATTAGCTTTTAGTGTGAAGAGAGGTGTGTTCCAGGAAAAATCTGCTTCGTTTTCCCTTCTACCCTGCATATGCATGCATACTAGTTTAAAAGTTTGGGTTTTTTCTTAAGCAGCGCTATTGTAGTGGTCACTTGGTACTTCAGCCAGCCCAAGGACGCCAGTGGTATTTGGCCTGCGCATCAGATCAGCTTGCATTGCCTGGGCTACATTTCATCCTGTCCCAAGGCTGTGGACAGGGATCTGTCCTAACACCGAGCAGCTTTGTGGCTGCACAAAGCAATACACGCATTTGAAATAAATGAAGAAATCCAACGGTGACCACAGTGGCTTCCCTGAACTGGCGTAGTTTTGCCCTTTTGCAACCAGCATAACTTTGGGCTATCAATAGCTTTATAGGTGTTAGAAGTCCCTTAAGCAAGGGCATAGTTTGACTGTCCTTCCTTTCAACTGCAACGCCAAACCACCCAGCCGTGTCCCTCCTAAGGCTTGTTTCCCTCCCAGGGTGGTACTAAGGCTCTTTTCTTTTAACTGGACTGGATCGCCCAAATGCTGGTGCAGCCACAACACAGTCCTGGGGGCAGCCAAGAGGTGCCGCGGCTTGGGAGCTGCTCAAGGAACCCCAAGGGCACTGCGACAGAGGACCTGGGCAACCTGCAGCAGTTTGAAACGCGTGGAATGAAAACCTGCTTTGTTGCCCAATATGTATCTTCCCAAAGAACTTAATGGAGCTAAAAGGAGAAGTTTGCTGCAACGTAAGAGTCATTTGTGCCTTTGAAATTCATCCTGAGTTTTGCAAACTTTCAGTCATTTTAGAAGGGCTGAGCTGAACTCAAATCCCGAATCACACCGGGTGTTGTTTTTTCTCCTTGGGAAAGTGCGTAATTCACAACTTTCAGCTGCGGATTTCTCTCTAGCCTAGACATGAGCCTGGCATAAATTCAGAGCTCACCAATTATTACGGCTTTATCAAGAGCCTTATTAGTGATCATTAAAAATAATCTTGCTTAGAAGGGGACTGCAATGTGTGAAGCCCATCTTTCCTATTTACTTTGTGCCTATTAATGGTTTTTTTTAATGTTTATACATTAGTGCAAGGAATAGTGTTAGCATAATTCTAGTGTAAAATAAAACCAGCTGTATCCATTATAAGTGCATTACTGCCAGGAACTGTAAATATGTTTATGCCTGATAGCCTTTTGACTCAATAATATCCTGCTATCTCTGTTGGGCAGGCAAGTTTTTAAACCAAGAAAAGACAGGTTATGATTTTCATAACCAAACTGTGTTTCTTTTTGAAGTATGTTATCTAAATTCAAATTTTAAGAAGGTCATTAAAAAAATCTGCCTGTGATTTTAAAGGAGAACAATTGAAATGTCATCTTCAAAGTGGTGGCAAGAAGGTACAATGTGCACTACGAACAAGTTATTCCTCCCAGATATATACATACGCAGACAAACCCTGCCATATCATACCATACAAACAATTTTAATTGTGTAGTTACAGTCAATAACCACTCCTAGTCAGAACATTTCTGCATAAAGAAAATTGTGATACACTTATAAAAACAGCCAGCTGTAACAAAATAACTGGTGTTTTCATAGCAATAAACTCATAAAAAAGAAATACACCTTTATACAGAAAATTTATACAGCTGTAGCTTTAAAATTGATTGTAAACCAAAGGAAGACACATTGCAAACATCAATTATTTTCACATTAATTGCATAAGTTTCTAAGGTGATCTATTAGTTTTATTTACCTAAGCTTATTTGCATGATAGTAAAAATTGCATACAACAATAAGAGTGAAGCTTATAGTATGAATTGCTTGGATAACATAGAGCACTTTTTATAGGCAACTGTGTAAAGCACATTTTCTCTATTTAAAACTTTTAAGACACTTTGTTTTACTGCACAAACAATTTTAATTGTGTAGTTACAGTCAATAACCACTCCTAGTCAGAACATTTCTGCATAAAGAAAATTGTGATACACTTATAAAAACAGCCAGCTGTAACAAAATAACTGGTGTTTTCATAGCAATAAACTCATAAAAAAGAAATACACCTTTATACAGAAAATTTATACAGCTGTAGCTTTAAAATTGATTGTAAACCAAAGGAAGACACATTGCAAACATCAATTATTTTCACATTAATTGCATAAGTTTCTAAGGTGATCTATTAGTTTTATTTACCTAAGCTTATTTGCATGATAGTAAAAATTGCATACAACAATAAGAGTGAAGCTTATAGTATGAATTGCTTGGATAACATAGAGCACTTTTTATAGGCAACTGTGTAAAGCACATTTTCTCTATTTAAAACTTTTAAGACACTTTGTTTTACTGCCCATCAAAATACATTTATAAAAAAAAATCAGTATGATAACAAGAGAAGCAATATTACATTTAACGGAAACTTCCAAAAAAATTAATTACAACATGATGCTGCAGGATCTACAAATAAATAATGAGGACTAAATTGTGTTTCACATTTTCTTTTTCATTTTCTTTAAAACCATTTAACAATGAGAATGGAAAAAAAAATACAGTGACCTTTATTTCCAAAAGAAAACAAATCTGAATTACGGCAGTGCCATATAATACAAGGCATTTGTTGGCATATGTTATCTTTAAACTGCATTCCACAGTCTATAGTTCTTTTGTAACATACAATAGAACAAGAGTAACAAACTCTTTTTTATTTTATTTTTTTAAATAAATGTGAGTTTCCAAAGATCAAGTGTGGAGTGCTACAGTAATAATTAAAAAACAAGAACGAAACAGAAACAAAAAACAGTAAATCACAAAAGTTGTAATGCTTGTCTGAAGGCTCCAGAATCAAAATCACTGGTATCATGCTTATTGGGTACACTCACAGTGTATCCAGTGAACACAAATTAATATCAAACAATCCTCAACGCTTCATCTGTTGCTGCGAAGCAGTTTGTAAAACAGAGTAAAACATCTAGTGCAGTCTGCATTATCCTTTTTTCAACTTTTGTGCAAGGTTTGGAAGATTCATTGGCCAAACAATGAATAATAAAGGTTTTTGACAGAACGCAAGATGGAATTTTCATTTCATTAGTAAATACCAGTGGCACTGTTGAAAGAAAATAATACTTTTAGATCAGTCTTTCAATTCAGCATTAATCTCTGTGTTCCCTTCTACCGATAACTCTTCTTCTAGTTTAACTGAAAAAAGTGTGTTTGCATTTTTGTCTTGGACGCTGTCTTCTAAATCCTTGAGCAACTCTTCTTCTTTGTACTCTGCAACATCCACCTCCAAACCAGAATTGTCCTTCAGCTTCCCATGGTGCTTGAGATAATATCGCTGGTTCTGAAAGAACTTGATAATGGTGTACTTGGGCAGGTCAAGCTGAGCGGAGAGAGTCTGGATTGCTTCTTCATCTGGATACAGGCCTACATCTTGGATGAAACTCTGTAGGATCCCTAGGGCTTCAACAGAAATCTTTGTTCGCGGTCGGGGTTTCTGACGATTTTCATCCTCAGATTCAGCTGGTGATGCTACTGTCGGTTGCCTTGGGGGTAGCCTGGGACCTGGTTGCTGTTGCTGTTGTTGTTGTTGCTGTTGCTGCTGTTGCTGCTGCTGCTGCAAGACAAAGCACAGCATTTTTTTTTGTACGCGTATTCTTGCTCATGTTTTTTGTTACCAAGAAAATCCGGGGCAGGGGGGGAAATTGCAAAGCTATAAACAAAGGCTTAGTAAGTTTAAATGACAAAAAGGAAAAAAAAAAAGGCCCATTATTCCTGAACCAGAGTTAAATATGAGTTAGTAACTCCCTGCATATCTCGCATGTGCCTGTATGTGTGTGAGCAGAGACAACGGATAAAGGGGCAGTGGGATACGGGCAGAGAGGTGGAAGGAAAACACTGGCTTTGTCTGACTGAATGCGTCGATGACGAGACATCGGTGCGGTTTAGCTGTCAAATTTTTAATGAACATGCTCCATGAGTCAAGTGCAGGCAAGACAAAATGCTAAGTAGGTGACATAGTATAGGATTAACTTGACCAGCTTAGCCAGAACTGTAGCAAGGGCAAAGTGAGAAAAGTGCCAGATGAGGGCAAACGCACAGGAGCTCTGCCAGCAGCAGCAGCTGCTGCCCAAAAACAAGGGCTGCAAATCTCTAGCAACAGCGAGACTAAGGGACTGGGGGGATCAGGGAGAAGGAGAGCATTTTAGCTAAGTGGGGAAATACCCCGCTACTGATCTGACCTGAGCTTGCACTGAAGTCTTGTCAAACTTGCGAACGTTACGACAGAATGCGTTAGCTGGAAGCGCCTAACGTCACGCTGTCAAACCCAGCCTCGGCAAGGACAAAGAGATGTGGAGGTAGGGAATCTGTATTTCCCCTTCTGGCTCTGACCTCTCTTGCCTGTGGGCCCGCAAAGGGCCTGTCTTGCCTGTGTTCAAGCATCCCAACGTATAAACAGGGAACAAACATGTGTACCTGCTTCTGTGTTTGTGCCGGGGATTATTTTGTTAATATTTATAAAGCACTAAGATGCAAAGCTCTAAATAAGTTGCACTATTATTATTAGAAGGGAACATGCTGCATTCCAAAAACTCAGGCAATAAAAATGAGCCAGTATGCACATCAGAAGAATAAGATAAAGCAAATCATGATGTAAATAATTAACAAGAGCTTAAAATGAAGTTTTGCAAGCATGGATTCAGAAACATTCTTAAAAGGTGAGGCACTGAGCCCCAGGGACAGAAATGTTTTTCTCATCCACCACTGGAGTACAGTACATTATAAGATCATGTTTAAAATCAAAAGTAAATTTATCAGCTACTGTTTTTGTTGACAATTCTTTGGCTTCACAGCACAGGAAGCACTGGTTAGTAAGATATTTTGGATCAGCAAATTTCTTGTCATATGGTACAAACCACCAGTTATTATTAAAAAACAACAGCAGCAAAACAAGCAGTTGCTATCACTACATTTCATTTCCCTTTGTGAGTCTCCCCTTGACAATTTTTTGTGTGTCGGTAGTGGTTTCCCAGTGGCTTCCAGTTGCGGCTCACTTGCAGACCCTAAGAAGCACAAAATACTGTACGAATGGTATAAATACTGGAGGAATTATAATTCTCTCCACTTCGCAGTGCCGCTCGTGGTTGTGGAGACCTCGCATAGGTCTCAACACCCGGTTTAGAAGCCACTGCCTTAAGTGATCTTCTCACTGTAAGATCTGACACAAATGGTAGCGGAATTAGGGCTCTTGCCTCATCCCTGTTCACATCCTTTCATGTTTTATGGTCTGTGAGCCGTCCCATTCCAGGCTTCAATCCCGAAGAGATTCAAGACTGCTCCCAGCACATTAAATTCTTACAAGACTGGAGGCTTTGTACGTGCAGTTTGAAAACTTCTGTCTTAGCTACACATTTATGCATCTACAACAACTACCAAGTAGAAGAGCAGAGACAAAACTCAGGCCCAAGCTCCCAATCCTTACTCTTACACGTCATATTAAGAGATTACAATGCAACTGCTTATGTGAATAATATTTGTGAGATCAAACACACAACTTTTATCAACAAGGCAAGAAAATCTAAGTAAGTGGCACAGTGGTTGAATGTTTATACTGTGCATAAGCTTCTCCTTTTATCCCCTTAAGAAGCGATTTTATTAAAAACAATGTACATTTTCAAACAAGTGCTGTTTTATTACTTAATATAGATCTTTCTCTCTCTTTTTGCTAAATCAAACAGCAAGTTTCCAGGCTTTCACAATTATTTTAGTACTTGATATCCTAAGGGATTGTCTTATTCAGTTTTCTTTATCTTTAATATACACTCGTGTTGTTTCTGGCTGTGAGATAACTCTATCCTTCCTAGCTTTGTAAATATTTTTCTGTATAGGTAATACAAATGATACGCTGGGTCTCAGCTGAGGTTGGGAAAGCACAGGGTAATACCTGCCCTTTAAGAGGGAGCAGTTAAAAGGCTGACCTCAGGTCTTTCGTGAGAAGGGATTAAAGAGTCCCCAGCCCAGAGAGGCAGCAGCCTGCATGGATGACCTGGGCTACCAGATTTAGCAAAACAGTCAGCCAGGCTCACAGTTTGCGGTGCCCATGCGAGCAAAGGGTGGGCGCAGCCCCCAGAGGAGGGGGGCACCGCCGGGGCTGCCCCGGAGCGGAGGGCGGCTGTTTCCAAGCCCCGTGGCGTGGGTCCTGCATCCCCTCCTCTCTCTCCCTGACACGGTGCCCTTGTGCCAGCTCACCTGTGGAGCAGCACCCAGCCAAGGTCCAGCGGTCAGCAGGCCTGGTAAGAAAGCGCCTCTATGCTCTCCTTTCCCAAGGGTGGTGGGAGAGGGGCTCTGAAGGAAAAACAAACAAACATTGACTCCCCCCAGCCTCGACTAGGGTGAAAGTGGGATGAGGAATCCCCTTCCCTTCACTCCTACCCGGGGCGAGCCGCTGCTGTTGAGGGTTCGAGGTTAGCTTTTGAACAGCAGCGCAACGAGGTCCTCCCGCCTCGCTGGTAAAGGCATTTGACAACCGGTACCAAACGCCGCTGCCTTTCGGTCCTGACACCTGCCTAAACCAGGGACAGCCAGCAGGGAGGCTCGCCCTGCCCGGCACGCAGGTGCCTCTGCGCCACCGCGTCCACGCACGTTTGTGAAAAACCACCGAACCGAAGCAAAAACCACGGGTGGTCGCACGCTCTCCTTTGAGCTCTGGTGGCGGACGGCAGCGCACTCGTATCTCGTAGCGGGAGACCTGCATTTAGCCTGGCTGGGAGGAAAGAAACACTAATTTCCTTTGCTCCGTTTTAAAGCTTTATTTACTTAGCGCTCTGCGGGATTGGCCAAGGTAAACTAACCTGAATCTGTTCTGCTGGCACATGGATAATGTGGGAAGGCCTGTCACCATGGTGATGAACTGCATTGCTTTCTTGTTCATAAATGGCATCGCGTTCAGGCTGAGGAAGACTGAGGAACCTTCGGATCATGGAGAGATTCTCCCAGAGGGTCCTGTTCTCTGGTGAGGGATCTTCTTTCCAACGTAACAGCTCACAGAGCCACCCCTTGAAGATAACACCAGCAAAACATTAGTTTTTTTCCTCACTTCACAAGGGGCAAAACGAGGGCGAAACGTGTACTTTAGCGGCGCTGCATTCTCTCACGCCTCTCCCCCGGGAAGAAAGGGCTTTCACTGTAAAGGCTGGGCTTACAGCAGACACCGATACACTGAGAGGCTGCCGCGCTATTTCACAGACCCTCGCCAACTGCAAGTGGTTTGGAAAGCACCTTCCCCTTGGCCCCGCACCACAGCGCTGAGGACTGATTGCTTAGAAGCAAACTGGTTGATGAAGGCAGACTCGCTTACGCGCTCCCCTCCGCACGACAGGGGTTTCGCTGACGCCAATGTATTCTCTCGGCTGCCCATTTTCTTTTACGCAAGGCTACACCCATCCGAGAGCATCGACACCGTGTTTCAGGGGCCGGTAGACGGTCTGCTGAGCAATTTTTAACATCCTGGTACTACCACTCAAAACAAGAAAGTACTTCCAGTATCTGCCTTGACTGTAGGGCTGCCTAACGTAAATCATAGCTCCCTAACACCGTTCCAAAAGACAGGAATCCTTTGACTAGATGCAGTCAAGTAATATCTCCTTCCTATCTGCTACAAGTAGAGGTGCCTCTGCAGGTGAACTTATTTCAAATGACAGATGATTATAATTTCAGTATTTTTCTCATAGATCCAGAAAAAACCAGTCTCTCAGTTTTATGTTACACTATTAGGGCTTGGGGGGGAGCAAGACATGCTCAAGCTTCTGATACACCCTTTATACCATTTCCACATCACAGGACAGCAAGTTGCCTAAGACCTTACCTACTCTAATTCCGACATGGTTTTGGGATACATATTATGAAGTCAGCTACAGAATCCCTTGCAAGAACTGCAGCGGTTGCTTATTTGCTTCCAAAAGAGATATACAAATTCATCTTGAAAATTTAACAACTGTTTTCTTATGTCTTCTTAAAATTTAATTGAGGATTTTTTTCTTAATTGTGCACTGGCAGTTTTAAAAGAAGAGTGCAAATGCTCTAGCTAGCATAGTGTGCATCAGCAGCAATTTTTTGGTATATTAAAATTTAGAAACAAAATATTACATATATAAAACATGCATACTTCCTTTCTTTTAGCTTCAAGGATCTGTTTTCAAAACTAGGTCCGTGCATTTTATTTCTTAATGCTGTAGGAAAGATAATGTGACATTTTATTGAATCAACAAATAACATAAATGTACAGAAGCTTTTAGATCCTTTTTATATGTACTGGTAGTTGAAAAATGGTTTATCCAGACTAGTTTACTACTAGATACAATAGATACATAGATACAATATAGATATGTATTTTCCTGAAGACATTCATATCTTTAGCTAACAGTTAATAAATGCAGCGTAAAAATATTGCCATGATAGGAAGAGGTGAAAGTAAACAAATAATCTTAATGCATTCATATTGTATAAGACAATATTTAGTGAGGTGCATATAAAAATTTGAAGTATATTTGCTTGGATATAAGTGGAAAGCTGAACAAATGACACATGAGAAAAATGCCCTGAGAAATAGAAATAATCAAAATGACCAATGTTAGAGAGATGGTGGTAGTAGAGCTGAGAAAGCAAATACTTAAATGGGGCCAAAATCCTCCAGGTGCTCACTTGGTGTGCTAGGGAGGGAGGGAGGAGAGTGGTGGCAGCAGAAGGGCGCCTTGCACCCGGGGATGGAGCGCACCCCATTCCTTGATCACGCACTAAGGGTGGATGCTGGGTATTGCCCCAGGGCTTAGGAAGCTGGACCAAACGCCTTCATATAGAGCACATAACGTACAGCCTGTCCCAGCTGGAATCATATGGCATCTTTTTAAAACAGTAGCAAGGGTCTGTGAATTCTCCCTCCCCATCATAAGGCGCCCCAGGACGTGTTAGCAGGTTAATGTAGGAACCATCCCTGCCCCTAACAAAATCAACATGCTGCTCGTGGTTCTCTGCCCACCTTACTTCCACGGGGACACGTGCTGGGTTATGTGCAACAGCAGTGTTAGCTTTCTGCAGCAAGTTAAAAGAGCGCAATCAGAAAACATGGGTAGGTTGTTGGGGACGAAAGGGAGAAGAAAATGAAGAGAAACAAATCTAGATTTTTTTTTTTTATTGAAATGCACTTATAAAACTTGTAATTAAAAAAAAAAAACCAAACAAACAGCCTGCCCTGAAGCATAAAAATTGTCCTTTGGTTGTCTGGAGTCTGCACTGCTTCACACTGAAACTGTTGGTTTTCTTTCTAACTGTGGTGAAACAGAGAGCAGCGCTGACTATCACGGCCATTCGGTGAAAGTAAAAAAACCCACAAGACAACCTGTCCCCTCCCATGCCAGCTCTCTGAGGTGCACAGGCAGACTGGAAAAGAAATTGCACCGTGCATTTAGAAGCTGCGCATATTTTGTCTGGTGACCATGTGAATCACAGATTTTTTTTGAAAAAAGACTGTAGAAACTCTTTTTAAAAGTCCAGTAGTAAAAGTAATTCCTAAGCAGTCATGTTTTATGCTGATTAAACATATTTCACAACAACAGTTTTTGTTAACTAAGAAATTCCTTCTCCCCATACTGTCTTTTCTGTTTCTAGATTTACTAGATCAGACCTTATTTTTCTTAATGACTGACAACTAAAATTATATGTCCAGTATTCTTTTATCAACTTTTGCACTGAAATAATACTTCTATTTCCTTATCTAAAGATTATTTGATGAATTGTAACCTGAAGCATGTCTCTGCTAGCCTTTCAGGGAAGCAGTGATTTTGAGATATTGAAATCAGATGCTTCTGACATGTTATACAGAATAGACTGCCATTCTACCAAAATGTCTTTTTCCTACTGGGTTCTTCACGTTTTTAAGGAAGTAGACATACTCTGATGAAACGTATGATGGGCAATGTGGAAACAACCAACTGAATTCTTCTAAAATTACATGGATAGAAACAAATGTTTTGGTCTTCGTGGTTTATTTCTAAAAATATTTATGAAAGTTGATCTCAGAAATATTCTCAAGGAGAGCAAGTGAATGGGCAGTTACAGAGGCTATTGGGGTTTACTTTGTTAGGAGACTACAAACTTTATACCAATATGCTTTCTTTTGGTTCAAAGCAAACAAGCAAAACCATAATTATTTCATTTAGTTTCAGGTTCAGAATTCTGTACCTGGCATAAAGGTCCTTCATAGACGTCAACTAAATGAGAATGCATGAAATGTTTTCATAAATTTTAGGAAAAGTGGTCATACAGACTTTTCTAAGGGGGAAATACAAATTATGTAAAATGCGGAAGTTTTGTTTCCATTTGATCTAAAGAAGTATGAACTGCTGCAGTTAATGCAGCTGAATTTACAAGTGAACCTAGCAAGGCTGATTTTTCTCCTCTTACGCTCATTTAAGTCTAGAGCACTTTCTGCCTACTTGAAACAATTTATTCTGAAGGAGGGCTTGGACCACTGTTTTTTCACGTCCTTACAATCTTCCAGGAAGTGGAAAGGACCACAATATTATAAGAAAATATTTATAACTCAGATTAGATCACAGCTGTTTTATACAGCATATATAGTACATCGTTAAAAAAATACAGCCTCAAAATAATCAAGCTGATACATCATTTGCAAGGCAAACCCCCCAAAACTCTGCAATGACATTGGGAACAACCTTGATTTTAAAACACAGTAAATTTGCCAGGCAACATTACACTGAATATAAAGAGAGTACAAAGCAAAATATAAACATTAGCCACATGTAAATATGTTTGGAGAACTTTCAGGATGTTACTACTTTTCAAACTGACAAAGTTTAATTTGACACCTTCTGTTCTAAAACCTTTGTTTCTATTCAAAATCACGCCTTTAGCTGCTATCAATCACTATGCTCTCCCTATTACTTAAAATACTGGCATGGGCCCTGGATAAGCTGAAAATGCCATGCAGATGAATTCTGAGATAATATGTTCAAACCTGTTATATACAACACAAATCCTGTAAAGTTATGTATTGTAAACCTACATTTATTGGGAACTAAAAGTCTTAAATCCATCTGCTACAAAGAAAATACTGTTATGCACTTTCAAGTAACCAAGTACCATCTGCAAAGGTCTTGCTACAGTAAGCAAGAAAATGGTGAAAAAAAAAAAAGATGCTAAATCCAAGATATTTAAAATAAATAAGAGTCTTCTGTCTGCTTTTCTGATAGAGATTTAGTGAAGAAACATAAGACATTAGAGGAAAAAAACCTGTGAAAGCCGAACTGCCAAACTATTGCAGGAAAAGCGCAAGGAGAATAACTGCCAAACATTAGGCACTGCAAGACCCATGAGCATGCTTATTTTAAAGAAAGCATCAATGCATTTTATCTATGTATCCAAATGTTATTTTCTTCAGTCTGACCTGCGCTGTGTTTAAATAAAATCTTCTGCTCTTTCACGCAGAGTTCCTAACAAACTATCCTTGCATTCCGGTATCTTTCTTATTAAAAGAAAAAAGAAAAAAAAGATAATTGAAATCTGCACTTAAGGTGTAAATACCAATCCTAACTAGATCAAAGAGGGTAGCATTACAATCATGAAAGATGTTTTCTGGGCAAGGCTTTCCAAATCAGCAACAAACACAGCTAGTCTGGGAAGAAAGAGCTTCAAGGTGGAGCAACTGAACTCTTTTGTTCGGTGAATTTGTTACAGTGATAATAATTTGCCAAATGATGAATATTTCTTACAGAATAACTAACAAAGACTCCCAACAGTTTTTAAAAGAGCTATAATTTGAATCTAAGAAGGTAAAACAGTTTAGAGTATCAATGCTAAGATATGAACAGTTTTTCTGTGGTACAGTATAGCTAACGTTATTTTGTATCATTCTCTGGGGCATATAGTATAATAAAAATATATGGTGTTAAAAGGAATCAGTCTAAATAGGAAGGTACTCGATACAAACATTTTAGCAGAAAGTGTGAATTGCATTTCAGCATCTACCATGAACAAAGAC